AAACATGTAACAACACTGTTATATCTACTATATGTGCAATAAACATGTAATAACAGTCACATCTACTTTATGTGTGTAATAACACTGTTATATCTACTTTATGTTTAATAAACATGTAACAACACTGTTATATCTACTATATGTGCAATAAACATGCAATAACAGTCACATCTACTTTATATGCGTATTAACATTGTTATATCTACTACATGTGTAATAAACGTGTAATAACACTGTTATATCTACTATATGTGTAATAAACGTGTAATAACACTGTTATATCTACTATATGTGTAATAAACGTGTAATAACACTGTTAATTCTACTATGTCTTATAACACTGTAATAATACTGTAATGCCTCTTTATATGGGTAATAAGTCTGCAATAACACTGTTATATTTACTTTTATGTGTAAAAACGCTGTAATAACACTGTTATATCTTCTTTATATCTGCAACAACACTGTAATAACACTGTTATATCTGCTCTATCAGGCTTGATCATACATAATAAGTTTGAAAGGGTCAATATATATGTACATATAGATGTATATGTATAGAAAAATATACAGAGAAATTCAGTTATTTCAAAAACTTTGACATTTTGTGTCATTCGTTGAATATGTTAGCATGATTTCCTTTGTTGCAAATAAAGGGTTTTTCGAACCAGACCAAACCCTTTACAGTGTAGGCATTTAGGCATTTAAAGGGGGAAACTGAGCCCTTTCTGCCAGAACTCGGACTGTGAAACTAAAGACTCGCTCCCAGGAGACCGAGGCCACCATTGGCACTCAACCAGTGGACATTTAGACCTAGAAATCGTGCTCTGCCTTCCAGCTTTGTCTGAACCTGGAAAGGCGTCTCTCTGGGTGCTCGTACCCTGATCTGAGCTGGGTTTGAGGGCTTAGACGGTGAGCATGCCCGGACTTGCCCCACGCACCACTCCACAGCAGATCAAGGCCTGTGTGGAGAGTCCTCAATCGGTTTTAGACAAGCAGAGCCCAAACTGAGTCTTTAGCCTGGTGT